ATGTAATTAAGCATTCAACAATTTCACACAAAATATTTATTGCACCTAAATAAATGGTGGCCATCGGTCTTCTTACATATCTATGAGCACCTATTTAGATATGTATGTCAAAAAATGTTTATCTGTTAAAGAATAGGAATTTAAATATACTCCTTCATAACATGCATAGGAACTACATCAAAAGACAAACTCCAGATCTTGGGGCTTCTGACCTTCCACATCTTTACTTTGCAGGTAGCTAAACTGTGATATCAACATAAGACATTTTAAGCCATGACTCTATGGAGTCGAAAGTACCTTTAGAAACAATTTAGCTGACAGCATCCAATTAAATAAACAATTATCAGTTAGTGAGCAGCCTTTTTTTAAACTCAATTTTTAAAGTTTGTCTTGCATATCTTAATTGCTCCAACGAAGTACTCTATTTTCTGCAGTCTTTTCTTATTTAAAGACATTTAGATATATTTCTTCAGTAAATACTGAGGATTAGAAATATGTTGTAAATAACTTACTTCAGTACTGAGGGCTGTGGATTTACTCAGAAACTAAAATTCCATGAGGTTAGAAATAACTTACTCAATTTTTCTAATTGACTAAAAGGATAACTATTGTATGCCATTTAGTTCTAAATTTAGACTCATACAACAAATGGATTCCTTGCTTATGAACACTATTTATTGCACTACTTAAAACATTCTGGAAAAAAAAAACAAAAACCAAGACAGGTATTTTGAGATTGAGTTCATTCAGGAAAACCAAGTTTTTCCAACCTTGCTTGATGCATGTTACTTCTAACCAAACGCCTGCAACAATGAGTTTAACCTGAAGATATCTAAGAATACAAGAACACGTGTACTAATTAAAGTCAAATTTAAACTCGTTAAAATGCGCACAGTAATCCATAGAAATGTAAATACTTATACGATTTTTCTGTTTAGGATTAAGCCAGGCCTGGGCAACAATAACACAGTGATTAGAAAGGTGGTACCAAATTCACCACCTCGCATCCAAAAATCAAGTCTCCCTCCCTAAACACTGAAAAAAGCTGCTATTAGGAGGGTATCTCTAATCACTATCTCTGACACTGTATGCGTCACTGCTCCAGATCAAACTCCAAATCATGTTCATTCAGCGGACTAAGGAATGAAGCAGAATCCCACTTACCCCGAGAGAAGAACTCGGGTACCTGCAAAAGCAATGTAAACCTGGCATGTAGGTAAAAGAAAAAGACAGTGAGAATTAAGAGACGCGGAAAAGGTGACACATGGATAGAGCCAGAGACCGGGGAAGGAGGGGTCAGAAACAAGAAGCCAGCAGAGATAGAGATAACAGCGAGGACAGAAGGGTAAAGGGGGCAGGCACAAAAGGACAACAGAGACAGGCCAAGACTGAAAAGCGCCCAGAATCTTCCAGTGGCACAGAAACAGGGACAGGGGTAAGTACTGGGGCCAGCACCTCAGGTAAGCCGAGTCAGGCCTCCTATCACTCTGGATCCTCAAAAATATTTCCGAATCCTCCAACCGCCCCCTGCCAAGCCTGAGAGTTACCTACACATTCTGAAGATAGTGAGGGAACAACCCCATTCTCTGCAGTCCCCAGAGATAACGGGGCCAGGTCGGAGCCCGCACTTACCAGGCCACAGCGGCCCGGCGTAGCCGCCACATCTCGCCGGCGACGAGGTGACACAGGCGCCGAGGCGGCCACGCGGGAGCCCCGGTGTCAGCCCCAGTCCGGCTCCTGCTCCACGAATGACCCAGGAAGAGGCCCTCAGGAACAAGGGCACACAGCAGCCTCTGCGGCCCTCCCAATGGCGAATGGACTTCCGCGAGAGCCTGCCCGGCACCCGTACTCGGTCCGTCAGGAAAACCAGCCCCTCCACCCTTCCTAGGCGGGCAGCACAAATAGGCCGGGGAGGACTCGCGCATGCGCTCAAAGCCTCTGGAAGGACCCATGTATTTTCGCTTTCCTCACCGGGCCTCGCCCTGCCTCGCCCTCTTTGTTTCCGGGTCGGAAAGGTGAATTCGAGCCTCTCAGGCTAAAGGCTTGGAGAGGGGACGGGTCGAGATGTTGGGCTGGGATTGGCGGGTTGAAGGGCATGAAATCTGGATTGATAAATTCTCACTAGGTGGCTAGCAATTTAAGAAAATTTGATATTGAGAGAGTATGGAGGAGCGTAGGGAATACAAAATGAGTACAGTGTAGGAATAGAGTAGTAGAACAGAGTAATGAAAACCCACGACTCCCCCACCCTCGCCCCTGAGCGCTTTTGTCGGCGTCTTTGTTTACAAAACACTTTCTTATCCTCAGAACGGGAAGTTGGGGGAGGAGTCATGGACGGGTTAAGTGCTTTAGAATCTCTGAAGGTTAGATCTGAGTGGGGCTCAGATAAATTAGATGGGCTAAGGGTTTGGAATAAGCTTGTGGAGTTTATAAAGTCATCAAAAATGATTTCGTTCATTCACTCTTTAACCGGCTCTCCTCTGGCTTTTACTCTAACTAATTTGTTGAAATTGCTGCTGTCAACTTCTGCAAAAATTGCATATTGCCGGTGATCACTGTACTTCTCTGCATTCAGCTCAGAATTTTAGGTGTTCAGCACTCTCCTTAATTGGCTTCCCTCTCCTGGCTTTCAGGACATCGCAGTCTCCTTTTTCTTCAAGTCTGTTACCCCCCAGTCTCCTTTGTTGGTTCCTCCGCCTAACCTCTCAACAGTTGGCGGATTTGAGATCCTAGACCCTTTCTCTTCTGTCTTCATTATCTCCCTAAGTAGTCTAAAGTCAGTTCTATAACTTTAAATACCCTTTTCCCCTTCCAACTCTTAACATTTTATGTTTTATGTGGAAACTGGGGCGCTAGACAAGGAACGTAACCTATGGAAGGTAGTGAAGTCAATTAGTGGCATAGCCAGGACCAAAATTATACTTGCCTTGTGCTCCCTTCATTTTAAGGGCACCATCCCTACACATGCTACACACAAAGAAAATTTCTTTTCCTGTAATCATCAGAATCATAAGTCAGTATCATCCATTCATAGTAACACCAAGTCTAGATCTAGTTATTGGTAGTAAACTTCCCAAATGAAGGACTCTGGGAATTTTCTTTATTATATTTATCACGGTGACTGTTTTAATGACAGGAACAAATAGGAATTTGCTATACTGATCTGTACAAACTGTAGCTCTTTCCAGGTTTATTGAGTTACGCAAAAATTCCTTTGTTACTATTAATTCCCTCTTGTTCTAGGGAAAAAAAGAGAAACCTAATAACGGTAACTCCTTTCATATGACTTATCTTTACATTTTACAAAGTCCTTGTCTTGCAATTCTGCTTCTAAGAATTTAGCCTACTGAATCTGTTCCATGAAAAATTGGATTCGCCTCTTGGAGGTGTTGCAGGAGAATGGGGTGCTAGAGGATGGTCATGTCCCAGGTCTCCAGTGAGTCCCTGGGATATACCCTGCTAAGTGAGTGTCTCTGGCTTCACATAGGAAAGAATTCAAGAGCAATTCATAGTATACAGAAATACATTTTTTATATTGACCTTGTATTCTGAGATTCTTCTTAACTCATTATGTCCAGTGGCTTATTTTTTTTATTGATTTCTTAAGGTTTTCAATGTAAACAGTCATGTTATTTGAAAGTGTTCTACCTTATATTTTTTTCCTGCATTATCACACTGCAGGTTATACTTTTAGTCTTAAAATATAAACATTATAAAATAATGTGGATCTAATAATTTACAAATGATTTCAATTTCAATTCTTGCACAATTTCACAAAGGTTAATGTGATACAGTTTCACCTTTATAAAGAAAACTCTCAAATCTGTATTGTAAGCTTTACCTCCCTCTGGAATTCCAGGACTTGATTTCTAAATGCATAATAGATTTTTTCCACCTGAATAACTCAATAATATCTCAGCGTTAATCACCAATCCCAAACCAGAATTATCATCTCCACTCGAAATTAGCTTCCCTATATCCACAACTGTCACTAGCACTGTTGATTCACTGTGGCTTGAAATCCCAGTCACCTCTGATTGCTCTCCCTCATTTTTGCATTTAGTTTTCTATTGATTTAAGTACTCAAATATGTTTTCAAATGATCTCTCACCTCTACCCCCATTGCTACACTTTAGCTCAGGCCCCTCATACTTGACTTTCTCAATAGCTTCTCATCAAGCCTTCCTGAGCCTCAGTTTTTCTCTTTAGAAGTACATCCTTTTCTGTTTCTCCAGAACTATCTTTCTTAAGCCCACTTGATTATGCTAGAGTTCTGCCCTGTAGCAGAACTTCCCCCCTTTTCTTGGTCCTCAGTGTGTACTCAGTCACACTGTTTACCTTATTACATGAGTGTCTGTCTCTCTAGCCAGACCACGGTACCTTGAAAGCAGAGCTGAGTTTTACTCTTTTTTAGTATCTCCAGACCAGGATTCTTAAGAAACGATTTGTAAATGTTTGTTGATGTGGATTATAACATGCTTTCCTGAGTGGTGGGGAGAGTTTAATAACAATGATGGTGCAGTTTTGTGTCACTTAGCTGCTTTCCTTCTCCAGGAAACCACAGAGGAAGAATGCAGTGTTAGGGAACTTGGGCATCTCCCAGGAAGAACTTGGCAAAAACTTCTATTGTAAAAACTGTAATCCAAAACTTAAGAAAACAAATTCACTGAAAACTTGTGCTATTTAGTTTTTCCCTTTGTTTTGAAGTTTCCTATCTCTGACTGCTTATAATTCTGTCTCCTCTTTGGGGCCAATGTCATGTCCAAAGCCTTTTTCCACTCGCTCAGTTCTGAGCATTCTACCCCCTGCTTAGAGGTATTTTTGCTCTACGCTTTGAAATATTTCTTCCTTGATTCCCTTTTAGACGAATACCATATCCTCTACCTCTGCCCTATTCCAGGCCTGTCCAGCCTTTAAGTAACCCTGCATCATAATCTATTCCTGTAACGCCTGTACCAAATGCCTTTCCAGCTTGCAGGAGTCTTCCTCAGCAGGAGTGGGTGGAGCTGTGACCAGCTGTCACATCCTTGCTGCTCATTGTTGTAAGCTGTTGACAGCCTCCTTGCTCCCTCATGCCTCAGGTGGTCTTAGCTTTGTGGTAGGAAGATGAACAGTTGAAGCAACAGCCCCCTACAACTGCTAGAGTCCTAATCTGGTTTGCAGACAGCACCGGAAGAGTGAGATCTACTATCTCCCAGTCGGGAGAACCACCTTAGCAGCAATGACACTTGCATTTAGAGAAGGCAAAATGGGTCTACTGACAGTGATTCATTTACCAGTTTATGCTGGTAGGAGAGACGCTGGAATGCACAGCCCCGAGAACTTCCTTCACGGGTAGGATTAGATATACATATTTGTCTAAAACGAACTCAGGTTAGAATCTCTTCTTTCTCTGCTTCCTTTACTCTACCTAGTGTGTCATTTTGTTGGGGATGGGTGAGATTTAGACGAGCAGAAAAGATGGAGGAAGAGATCCTGTAAGGATGTGTGTGGTGAATCTGGGGCTCCATGACCATTTTAGGTTTACTTCTGCATCATTCTGTTTTCCTGACATTGTAATACCGGCTGATCTGTCTCCTTACAAAATGAGCTAATACATATGAGGCATTAAAAGTATGCCTGGTACACAGTAAACGCTTAATAATTGTATTTGTTAAGAAAGGATGGGATGCTGCTCTAAGAAGATAAACTCCCAAATGTCAAAGACTTAATCACAGTACAGAATTATTTCTTTCTCACATGACAGTCGGATGTGCACTGGAGGGCTCTCCTGAGGCGTCCCTGTTAAGCCTATGCCATCTGAAATAGATGCCCTTTAGGGTTACTCTGGTGAGCACTGAGAATTGTCTGGTCTGGTTTTGAAGGGCTATCATAGAAATGACTTGACAATGTGACTACTACATGAGTGGTCAGTACGGTCAAAGATCACTTCTGCCCACATTCTGTTGGCCAGAACCTAGTCACATGGCCAGCTCAACCACAAGTAAAGCTGAGAACTACAGAGGAGAACTCGGCCAGTTGTTCTCACTGCCTGTCTCTGCCTTACAAGCATTAGCTATAGCAGTAACATCAGAAATAGTGTTATTTTTCTCTAAGCATGAGATGTTTCCTTCTGTTTAAATACTGCTATCTATATTCCCATTGAACTTACAGTTTTAGATTACTTTTTAACCTATGTCCATCTGTTTCTAAAACACCATGAAACCTGCTTTTATTTTATTCTCCATAGTGAGAGAGGAAACTAATTTTATTTTACTCTCCATAAAAGGAGAACCAGCATATTGACAGTGGTTGGATTTCTTAGAAACCCACCGAACGAGGGCTCAGAATTAAAATTCAGTTGATTTAAAGAAATGCAATACTAATCACACACCTGAGTTTACGATCTGAGATTCATACCTATTCTATTAAACTGTACATTCTATGCAGAATGAAAGAGCTTGAAGTACTTTCAACTTGCAGGGTTTTTCCATTGATAAGACCTGGCTATTTTAAGAGCACTGGAAAAAAGTCACTGTGAGGTGCAGGCTTCCACATGCTAAGTTGCAACTTAGAAATCTGTCTGACAAAGGCTTGGCCTTGGAAATTAATCCCACTGCATTAGCCAAAAAGACACGAGGAAGACTGCTCTCGTGCTTACCTTCCATTACCTCAGGACGCTGGATTTAGGGCTCCCAGTGCTGCCAAGGAGCAGTGCAGACAGTAAGCCTTCCATGGTCTAGTCTACCCATGGGCAGTGCAGACTATGTGATTTCCTCTGGCGTATCTATGAGCAGGGTGGACAATGTGACTTCCATGTTCTATTTTTATGAGTTCAGAAAAATATGTTAACTTTCTCAAGGTCACACAGTTAT